TTTTTTAAGAAACTCTGTGCTTCATGTAGCAGCTTAAAAACTCAGAGGTTTTTAGCAAAACTGCTGCCCACTTTAGATGCCAGTCTGAAACTGCAGATCTACCAGGTATAAATCAAGGGTCCCATGGAGTTAGCTTGCTAGAGCGGCTCTAGGCATCTTCTCTGGTTTAGGACAGAGGATCTTTCAGGGGGTGCAGATCCATATCCAAAGAGAGGAGGTGCACAGGGCCACGCAAAGGGGAAGCCTAGAACTGTGTTCTCTCTGGTGACCGGACCTCCAAGGACTGCCGCTGCTGCGCTGACCTAAGCACAGTGCCCTCGGCTGTGTCCCACACTCTTAGTTTTAATGCCATTCTTAGATTTATTATTGTTTTCACAGAGAGTCTGTATAGCTCTGCCTTGCCTTGAATTTGCTGTATTGACGAGCCTGTCCTTAGACTCGGCCTGCCCCGACTCCCAAGTGCTGAGATTAAAGTTGTGCACTACCATGCCTATTTGCTATATTTAATAAAATTAATAAAATTGTAAGCTGTAATTTTCTCAGGTGAATTACAGAAAGCTAATATTACTTTAATTTTCAGATGGTGACCCTGATAACTATATAGCATACTATCGGAGAGCTACTGTCTTCTTAGCGATGGGAAAATCCAAAGCAGCACTGCCTGACTTAACTAAAGTGATTGAACTGAAGATGGATTTCACTGCAGTAAGTGCATCTAAACGTTAAGGGAAACGGGAAGAGGTCATCTGTTTCCTGCAGGGAGTATTGGCACCATAGGCATTGCGACAGCATTCCAGAGCTGTCGTGTGGAGAGACAAATGAGATCAAACTTCCTACACTTGCTCCTCATAGTGGCACACAACTGTAATTCCAGACGGTGGGAGATGGAGGCAGGAGAACCCTTGAGCCCGGTGGTCTTGAGGTCTGCCTGAGTCCTATAGTAAGATTTTATTTCAGTAACAGTAGCAGTAACAGCAAAGTTCTTGGAATTAACAGTCTTTATGGAGACTGGGTATGCTTGCTGCTTAACCCAGCATATGGTAGGCAGAGGCTGTGGGAGACAGAGGCATGTGTATGTCTGAGTTCCAGGACAGTCAGGGCTAGGCAGAGGGTCCTGTCTCAAGAAAACCAAAAGAGGTGTGTATGGAAGAGTAACAGCGTATACTAGGTGATTTGTTTTCCTTTCAGAACCCTGACAGTATTAATTCTGTGTGAAGGTGGAATGTAGGGCACACGTGAGAGACCCGGTGCTGAAATGACATTCATGGGTGAGGTGGGAGCATGAGGAGGGGGTCCATTTAGGGGGTGTTTTGTGAATCCCAAGCATGTTAGTATGATTCTCCCCAGAGTCAGTGCATAAGCTTCGGAGGTAGAGAAGCTTACTGTAAAGTCTGCGCTCCTGACGTCTGGTACGCCATTTTAGGGCTGTCAAAGGCTGTACGGGCATTCCTGTAATTTGATCAATGTGACAACACAGCTAAGATAAACAGGAGACTGGTTTTAACTCGTGGTTTCAGAACCTTCAGCATGCAGTGCACGCTCCTTGATTGGGGGCCGCCATAGCAGTGGAGCACATGGAAGAGGAAGTTATTTCGTTCATGGCAAAGGAAGCAGAGAAGAATATACTTTAGCCAGAATAGGCTATGGCCCCCAACCCGAGGATGTACCCCCTGTACCCTCTTCTTTTAGGTAGGCCCCACCTCCTAAAGTTTTTGCTGGTTCCCAAAATGACAACACCTGCTGAGGATCACATAGTTAACACGTGAACTATTTCACATATGAGACTTTCATCAGTGGAGTACATATGTGGGCTGTTCAGATTAATTAATCAGTTAATTAATATTGTCACTATTATTTATAATTTTCGATATTTCTAAAAGGATTTGAGCTAACTGACTATGTAATACATGTTTGATGTGAAATGCTGCTGTATTATTATTTTAAGGTGGGATTTCCAACTGTCGTATTTTTGTTGACTTCATGACTTGACACATTGGAGCACAGCGTCCCACAGGGTGTGGAGCCCACTTTCTTAGCACTGTGGCTAGTTATCAGCTGGCCGGAATGGCCTTAGTTGTCCTTTTTGTGTTTTGATGTAGCTAATAGAGGAATAGGGAAATTTTATGTTCTGTAAAAGTAATAGATAAGTTTGGGTGGAATGTCAGTGTGGTTATGTCGTCCTCAGAGTGAGGTATGAGTTGAAGAGCTAGGACCACACATATTGGAAGAGGACGATCAAACATGAAGGAGGGAGAAGTACTCTGCTTATAGTAGATATTTACGTTCAGGGCTAATGAAAAGGAAACCATTTCTGGAGCTTTGATAGTCCCACGAACTTTTAGTGGGAAAAGTTAGTATGACGTCAAAAAGTATTTTTTAAAATTAATATACAGGGCCTGGAATGTTGCTTAAAGGTAGAACCCTGTACCATTCATCTTTATGGGTCCTTATGTTTGATACCCAGCATCATTTCAAAATATGTATATAATTCATGTACCATAAGATTCACATGTTGAAGTGTTGAGTATTTCTTAGTTTTTAGCTGCTACAGTCAGTACCATTGTCTACTTCCAGGACATCCTTATCATTCTCAAAAGAAACCTTATATCTAAACAAGCAAAAGAGCCCCCCTCCCCCAAAAAACCCTTTGCTTATGATTTCTTTGGGTTGAACAAAACATATTTTTAGAGAAAAAATATTTTAATAAAAACTGTACACATTCTGAAGCTATGGAAATTAGTCTCAGTGCTAAGTCGAACAAACATTGAAGAAATGAATATTAGTAACTTGGTTACAACTTTGAGTTTTGTCCTTCCTAAAGCAGATTTAGATACACACAGCACTCACACAGCCCTCTTCCCTAGGCAAGGCTGCAGAGAGGCCACTTACTGCTCAAACAAGGAAAGCTCGATGAAGCGGAAGAGGATTTTAAGAAAGTGGTAAGTGCCTGGCCCAAAGGGGTTACTGAGCGATGTGCAGAATTGATTTTTCTTTTAATAAGCTACTTTATATCAGTTTTATAGCTAAAACACACACACACACACACACACACACACAGAGGAATCATAGTTCTTTTTTTTCTTTCTTTCTTTCTTTTTGAGACAAGGTTTCTCCGTAGCTTTGGTACCTGTCCCAGAACTAGCTCTTGTAGACCTGGCTGGCCTCGAACTCCCAGAGATCCGCCTGCTTCTGCCTCCCGAGTGCTGGGATTAGAGGCATGCGCCACCACCGCCCGGCCCATAGTTCTTAAATAAATATTTAATGGCTGGCATCAAAGAATCATATTAACACTGTATAGTGATATTTTATTTGTATTTTAGCAAATAAAGCTTGCCTGAAGATCAGAGTGCAGAGCTAAGCCATTAGAGGCCAGGGAGGGGTGGCTCACACCTTTAACCCCAGGATTCAAGGCCACCCTGGGCTACATGAGATTGAATCTGCCTAAAAAGAGAAAAAGAGCTCACATAGCAGTGATCCCATCACTTGGGACCCCATGTCTTTAATCTGAGCACTGGGGAGATGGAGACAGGAGGAATATGGCTGGGTGGAGAGAGGAATATGAGGAGGAGGAGGAGGAAGAGGCAAGAGCTCAGTGCACTCTGAAGTTTGCTGGAGACACAGTGCAGTCTAGGCAGTCTGAGGACAGGATTGCCCCTTTGGTCTGAGCATTGGTAGAGGTATAAGATCTCTCTAGTGGCTGGTGCTCTGCTTCTCTGATCTTCAGCGTTAACCCCTATATCTGACTCTGGGTTTTGATTAATTAAGACCAACTAGAATTCCTGATACAGCAGTTGGAAGATAAAATGCACACAATTGACACATAAGTCCCAATTCAGCTGTAGACTCACTTACCTTAACTTAACCTACATGAGAATCTAGAAATGTCCTCTGAAACATGCTTCGTGGCCTCGAAGTTGGGACTTCGTGGATGCTTTGCACGGGTGACGCTCACTGCAAGCTTGCCACATGACCCTGGGTTACACGTGTATATGAAGTAGACATACAAACAAATACCTACTAACAATGAGTCATGGAATTGATTTTAAAGCAATTCTTTGTTCTTATCATTTTACCATGTATTCAAGAGAAAGTCAGATTTGTGTACTAATGTGTGGCATGTGCTTGTTTCTTTTTACACCAAGAATGAACTCTTGGGGCTGAGGAGATGTTCAGATGGGTGAGGAGCTTGTGTGAGTGCGGGACCTGGCACTGCTGTAAAAGCTGGCCGTGATATACCGTGCACTGTACTCAGTGTGGGGGAGGGAGAGAGGTTGATCTTAGGATCTTCTGGCCGGTCTCCCTAATGTGTCATCGCTAGTTCCATCCAATTTTTCTGCAAATGACATGGCTTCCTTCCTTGTGATTGAGTAATACTCCATTGGTATATAATGGTGTGAATATATGCCATTTATTTTTTAACTGTCCATCTTTTGATGAGCATCTGTGTGACTCTATTTGGACATGTCACAGCATGTGTGTTGACTTCTTGTCCTTCAGATGCTGCTCAGGTAGTACAGTGGGATCATATTTAGATCATTTTGAGCCTTTGGAAGACCTTCAAACCATTTTCCACAGTGGCTGTACTAATTTGCATTCTTACCAACAGTATATAAAGAAAACCTGCATTTTGATTTGGTAAAAATTAGATATTTGGTAAATAACAGTCAATTGCAATTTAATTTTAAAATCAAGTATAAATCTTTGGTAGTTTATTTAATACACTCCATTAGTAGTGACTGAGTACACACATATCAGTTGGAAAGGACTCAGCCGTAAGGAAATGATAAGAATATAACCCCCAGGAAGCTAGTAGTAGATGTGCAGGGTGATTCTGTGTCTTGCCTGTTGTGAGTAGCGCTGCCCTGGACATTACAGTGTAGGTAACTTTACAAAGTGACAATTCCATTTCCTTACCGTCCAGGGAGAAGATTACTAGGTCATATAGTAGTTGTATTTTTAACCGTTTTCAAAACCTACATACTGTTTCCTAAAATTACATTTCTGCCTGTAGGTTCCTTTTCTGTGTACAACAGATACCCTACTTTCTGCTTGCTGTGTTAACTGGGTTTTCTCTCTGCTTCCGATGTCTTCATTTTCAAGTACTTTTTTTGCCTGTTTACTTATGGGTGTTCTTGTTTTTGAGTTCTGTAAGTTAGTGATATAACTTGGGTATTTATCCCTTATCTGATAATATGGTTTATAATTTCTCCCCAGCATGTCACTCACCTTTTACTTTGTATGTGCATAACCTAAAAATTTAGACTATGCAATAAACATGTGGGACTCCAATAAATTATAATCTTATTATGGGTCAAATTTAGATACTTTAATTGCTGTAACTGACTTTAATAGAGAATATCCACATTTTAAAGTTGGCTGATGTATAATTCAAGGGGAAGTAGATTTTTTCTGAAGGCATGTATTATATTTTGTAACCAGTCCTCATTGTGTATATTTACTTGTTTCCAAAGCTGGGGATTGAACCTAGGATGGCACATTTGGAGGAAAGAATTCTATCCTTGGGCTACACGCAGCTCCCTTCACTGTGATTTTATGTTTCTATCAGTGTAGTCACAAAGGTTAGGAGTAGGATTCAGGGGGAGAGCACATGCTTAGCATAAGTGAGGCCCTGGGTCCAGTCCCCAGCACTGAGAAGGAACTTGACTTTAAATAATGCCTGCTGACAGTTCCGTTTGGGAATGCTTGCCATGCCCAGGTATGTGTGACTGTCTCGTTGTCAGAGAAAATGCACACAGCATGTAGAGAAGCATTTTATTCAGGATTTGGGGAAGTGACTTGCTCATTTAGGCTTTATTGTAACGTAACCATGAAAGGGCTGATGAGATGACTCAGTGGGTTAAGCCACATGCTGTCGAGCCTGATCACGTTCAACCTCAGGAGCCCAGATGCTGGAAGGAAAGCATGGACTTCTCCTTCAGCGTTTGTACTGTGGCATGCAGGTCCACCGCACACACAACACATGGTCATAGAATAGTATGGAAATATTCATGATTTTGTCATGAATGGCGATGTTGCCTGCTGCTGTGTAGTGAACAACTGTAAGCTGTATTTTCTCAGTCAGAGCTGTGGGGGCGGTGGAACTGGCTCTCAGGTGTTTAGAATGTTCAGATCTGGATTTAAGAGAGGAAAACTATTTGTTGTTTTGCTTGTAGCTCAAATCAAGCCCCAGTGAAAATGAAGAGAAGGAGGCCCGGTCTCAGCTCGTAAAATCCGATGAGATGCAGCGCTTACGCTCCCAAGCATTCGCGGCTTTCGAGAGCGCCGACTACTCCGCTGCTATAACCTTCCTTGATAAGATCCTGGAGGTGAGTCTCTCGGCTGGGAGCCTGGGAGGCGGGAGCCCAACACAGCTCTTAGAGTTATGCGTACTGGAGAAACTCCGGTGTGTTTATAAGCTGCCCAAACCAGGGTAGGACACAGGCTGGTCCTTGGGCTGGCTGGTCATGGAGATTTGCAGTTGTAGGTATTTAGTACATGTTGGTATGTTGTGAAGTGAGAATTACATTTTTGTTGTTTTTTAAGACAGAGTCTTATATGTAGCTGACCTGGAACTCTCTACTCTACGTAGATCAGGCTGGCCTTGAACTCAGAGATCTGCCTTACTCTGCCTGCCAAGTGCTGAGATTAAAGGTGTGCACCACTATCCCTGGGTGAGAATTACGTATTTTTACCCACTGCTTGCCTTGTTTCCCCTTCCCCCTTTTAATTTTGGAGCACACCATGTTAGAGAATGGGTAAAGGATGAACTACCTAAAAAAAAAGATGGTGTTTGAAAGAAAGAGAAACAATTAAAGTGAGAAGTTTCTAGAAGAGAAAGCAGAGGAAGTGCTAGGATACAGATGGTTCTAATAGGAAGCATTAAGGTTAGGATCTCCTCGCCCCAGGAGGATTTAGTGGATTTCAGAAGAAAGTCTAAGTGTAAATAATCAACATAATTACCATTCTCTGTGATTTATGGAAAATAGGCATTCATTTGATAATTTAAAAATTATGAGTGTGTGTGCTGTGATGCAGTTGTGTGATGGTGTGTGTATGCGCTGTGATGCACTCTGTGTGTGCACTGTGATGCACTTGTGTGTATGTGTGCTGTGAAGCACTTGTGTGTGTGTGTGCTGTGATGCACTTGTGTGTGTGTGCGCTGTGATGCACTTGTGTGTGTGCTGTGATGCACCTGCAGAGGCCATACACTAATTCTGTGGAGTCAGTTCTCCCTCCTGTATGTGGGTCTGTGGCTTAGTCACTAGGTTTGTATGCAAACATCTTCACCTACTAAAACATCTTGCTGGCTCGTATTTGATAATTATATAGAGGAAATCATGTAATCTTGCTATACTAAATTATTGATACTTTATTAAGGGGACAAAAGACTAATTTTTACTTTCTTACTGCTAGACTGCCCATTTGAGCCTGTCTCGTTAGTATTTAATTTATATAACATTTACATATATATATAAATATTATTAACACAGTGTTAGAGACTCTGAGAAAAACATAACGTACAGACCTTGGGGTATCTGTTTAGAAGAATCTACTGTGTTTAATGAGTGTGATAGACTTCATAAAATGGGAATGGTGAAGTCTTCCATGTTTTTTTGTTTTGTTTTTTTAAATGACAATTTATATCAAGGAAGTAAGGATGTAGTAGTTTACAAAAAAATCATTTAACTTAATAATCAGTGCAGTATTACTTTGCTAGTTGGGAACTAAGATTTTAGGTTCAGTTGGTAGAGCACAACATTGCACAGCATTCCTCCACACAGCCTTGTATTTGACACCTTGTACGACGGTAACACCCGAAATTGCTACACTCAGGAAGTAGGGCAGGAGGAGGATCAAGAGTTCAAAGTCATCCTGAGCTAATAGAGTGTTGGAGACCAGCTTAGTATACATGATATCCTGTCTCAAAAAACAAAACAAAGCAAGAATTACAAAAAAGAACATCGACTTTCTTTTCTTATAGAAATTATAATTGTTGCATAAACATTTAAATATTCTCATTAAATGTGTCAGTGGGAATAACCCTCTACTAGTAAATGCCATGGTTTTGTTGTGTGTGTTTTGTTGTTTCAGTTTTTAAGAAAGGGTTTCATTGTGCATTTTAAGTGTGGCTGGAACTCAGTGTGCAAGTGCTATGTTTTTGTATATTCAGAGTTTAAAAATTCTATATTCTGGGGAAGAAAAACTTGCTTTTGTGTATTTTCTTTTCCCTCAGGATTTAAGGTACCCTCAGGAAGTTATCACCTTCTGTTTGCCACTTTTAAATAGCAGGGTTTTAAACACCATTTATAAAATACCGACTTTAATCATATTAACTGAGGGTGTTTATGTTTGTAAATATGTGGATGGAATGTGTGGGATGCAAGAATCAATGTATATTCTTTATGTTTCTTAAAGTCTAGTTCTTTTGTTTCTCAAGGTTTGTGTTTGGGATGCAGAATTACGCGAACTTCGAGCTGAGTGTTTTATAAAGGAAGGAGAGCCTAGGAAAGCCATCAGTGACTTAAAGGCTGCTTCAAAACTGAAGCATGACAACACGGAGGCGTTCTACAAGATCAGCACGCTCTACTATCACCTTGGGGACCATGAGCTCTCCCTCAGGTCAGCCCTGTGACAGTCACATCCAGGCTTCTGACAGTTTCCTATTGTGCTAATACAAATACTAAGGACTTCTTAAAATATCTATACCCATTTAAATAAACTACGTTATCACTAATGTAGTATATAAATTCTACAGCTTATTTTCTTTCTTTTTTTAATATTTATTTATTATGTATACAACATTCTGTCTGTGTATGTGCCTGAAGGCCAGAAGAGGGCACCAGACCTCATTACAGATGGTTGTGAGCCACCATGTGGTTGCTGGGAATTGAACTCAGGACCTTTGGGAGAGCAGGCAGTGCTGTTAACCGCTGAGCCACCTCTCTAGCCCTCTACAGCTTATTTTCAAGTATTAGTCTTATTAAAGTGAGATTGCTGTTTTACTTACTGAGACTGTGTTTAATGTGTAGTTTCATGCCATTTGAATTGTTGTTTTTATGATATGATGTCATGTAAATGTGTATAACAAAAGCCAGCATGTTTTCATTGTTACAAAAATACGTTCATGTTGATTACTTAATGCAGAAAAGTATTTAAAGATTATTTTGACTTGGAGTATTTCTTTTTTTTAAAACTATGTGAGCAGCGAAGTCCGTGAGTGTCTGAAACTTGACCAGGATCATAAAAGGTGCTTTGCACACTATAAGCAAGTGAAGAAACTGAATAAGCTGATTGAGTCAGCTGAAGAACTGATAAGAGATGGCAGGTAAGAGCTCAGCTGACGTGTCCGGTGAGGTCTAGCTAGCACTGGCCCTTAGCAACCCTGCCAGACAGACACTGTAGAAGCAACTGCACAACACCCCACCCCCCCCAGCAGCTCTGTGCTATTGCGGGTGTTTCCTATTTGTGTGCCAGGTACTGGGCTATGTACTGAGAGCACAGAGATGTGACTACAGCTTTTAGTAGTATGAACCTTTTATAAAAGGTTTATAGCTTAATGTGGGAGGTTAGTTATGGTGATATTTAAAAAAAGCAAATAAAATACAAATTAAACAAATAAAAAAACCAAAGCTTGTCTGAAGATTGAAGTGTAGAGCTAAGTCACTAAAGTCCAGGCAGTGGTAGCACACACTCTTAATCCCAGCACTAAAGAGACAAAGACAGACGGATCCCTGTTAGTTCAAGGCCACCCTGGGCTACACAAAATTGATCCAGTCTGAAAGAGAAACAGAGCTCACACAGAGGTGATTTCAGCATTTGGGATCCCATGCCTTTAATCTCAGCACTAGGAAGGTGGAGACAGGAATATTATAGCTGGGTGGAGAGAGGAATATCAGGTGGGAGGAGACAGGAGCTCAGTGCAGTCTGAGGACAGGAGCCCCTTTGGTCAGAGCATTTGCTTCTCTGATCTTCAGGCAAGCTTTGTTAGATCATGATCAAATATCACACAGTCGATAGGAAGTGCTGGGGTACAGAGGTGTTAGCAGAGCTCCAGAGTGGACAGAGCAAAGAGGAGCCCTCAATCCAGTCTATAGCAGCGAAGGCCAGGAGCAAAAGGGGAGCTTTTGGGGAGGTGGTAGGCATTTAAGTTCTCATCTTAAAACAGGAGTTGTCTGTGTGGATATTGGGGTGTAGGGGTTTGGTAGGCTGGGGCAGGAGAGTTGAAGACTCTCCAGACAGTGCTGCTTACTGTGAGATAGATCTGTGTTCCCTACTCCTTGTAGCTGTCACGACAACGCTTTACCCAGTGTCCTCCAGAGTCTTGCAAACTAACATCTTGGAATACCATAATCAAGATGTTGGTTAATTCATCACCACACAAGGCTCCTGCGCTGTCCCTTCACAGCCACACTGCTTTGCTGTCCCTAGCCTTCTTCAGATCCCAGCAACCATGAGTATATTCTTTGTTTCCATAGTTTTTTCAAGAGTATCGAAGAAATGGAAACTTTGGAGATTAGCCTTTTCCCCTTTGCAAAGTTCTCTGGGTTTTATCTAGCTGGTTGTTTCAATATTTCCTATTTATTGGTTAATATTTCCATGGTATTACTCTCCACACTGGTTTATTTATTCAGCCATTCACCCATTGAATAATGCTACTTCTGTGTGTAAATCCTTAGAGATGGAGCTACAGTTCAGTGGTAGAGTGATTGACATGCAAGACACTGGCTTTTCTCTCCAGTGCTGTTCCCTGTGCCCCCAACACACACCCACACACACACACACCTCTTTTGTGAACTTTTCTGGGGAGACATGAACAGGCATTTGAGTTAGTGTGGAGAACTGCCACGCTTATTGGGCTTACAGGTGCATGAGTGATCTTAGAGCAGCTTCATCTCTGGTTTCATTCAGGATGGATGTTGAGTTCCTCGAAGCTGTGTAGTCCCTCCATTTAACTTTTAACTCTCCAACCCCTGCATTCCCTAGCCACATGCTTTAAATAGTTTTATTATATTTATCTGTGCGTGCAGGCAAGCGCATGTCCTGGAGAATAATGAATGTATGGGCTCTCTCCACCGAGTCTTAGGGATTAAATTTAGGCCATCAGTCCTGTTGACAAGTACCCTTGCCTGTCTCTGGGCTGAAGGGGTTGCCTTAGATTCAGGTTAGAAGCAGGTGTTGTGCTAGTCGGCTGTATTACTAAGTAGTACACTGTGAAAGGAGGGGGTTATTCCTACAACTTTGGAAATGGTTTCGTTGTTACTCCCGGGTTGCTTATTTCATAGATACACAGATGCAACCAGCAAATATGAATCTGTCATGAAGACAGAGCCCAGTGTTGCTGAGTATACAATCCGCTCCAAAGAAAGGATCTGCCACTGCTTCTCTAAGGTAACAGTTGACTCCTTCCAGGACGTGTGAACACATCACATGGAAACAGCCAATTTTAACTTCCTCAAAATTCTTTTTTATTCATTCATGGTGTGCACACGCTCACTGAGCCCATTCCCATTCACTGTGTGCTCACACTCACTGAGCCCATTCACTGTGTGCTCACACTCACTGAGCCCATTCATTGTGTGCTCACACTCGCTGAGCCCATTCATTGTGTGCTCACACTCACTGAGCCCATTCATTGTGTGCTCACACTCACTGAACCCTTTCATTGTGTGCACATACTCGCCAAGCCCATTCATTGTGTGCTCACGCTCACTGAGCCCTTTCATTGTGTGCACACTCGCTGAGCCCATTCATTGTGTGTACACGCTCACTGAGCCCTTTCATTGTGTGCACACACTTGCCAAGCCCATTCATTGTGTGTACACGCTCACTGAGCCCTCTCTCTGGCTGTTTATTTTTATTGATTCTTTGATACTGAGGATTGAGCTCAGGAGCCTGTGCATGATAGTATAGGCACATGCTTCACCACTGAGTGCACCCAGCCCATCTTTTCTTACGTTGACTTTTAGGACGAGAAGCCTGTGGAAGCCATTAGAATATGCTCTGAAGTTTTACAGATGGAACCTGACAATGTGAACGCTCTGAAAGATCGAGCAGAGGCCTATTTAATAGAAGAAATGTATGACGAAGGTCAGTCTTAAAGGAATTGACTTGCAGTATCTAGAAGTTAAATTGTATGAAATCAACACATGTTCAGTTGCATTTTATTTTGAACACAGTTATCTGCAAATGGCTAAGAATTTGAAAAACTGATAATTATCTTTCTTACTGAACCATAACAGGTATAGCATCTGAGCAAAGAGTTGTGTTGACATGTAAACAGTTCAGTGGAATATAAACCAGTTAGTGTTTTAGTAGTGAGTTCAGTTAGGGGGACAAACAGCAGATTGAGAGCCGTGGATTCCTGTCACCCAGAGGTCATCATTGTTCAGTTATTTTTCCAGACATGTCTGTACAAATATGACTCTCTTAAGCATATAAGTACAGTATGTACAATACATATATGCATAAAGTATGCATCTACACTTGTCTAACATGATCCTGTGACCTCCCAACTTCGGACTTTAGGATAGCTGCTTACCTTACTTCAGGCCGCGCTGAGAGCTTCTAGATGACAGGAGGACCCTGGAAGGCCGTGCTGGCGCACACAATCGTGTGTTTATTGAAAGATGGAATTCATTACATGTATTGTTTATCACATATTTGATCGGACTTCATGAACACTTAAACAGGGATTTTTGCTAGTTTTTTAATTTATTTGATGACTCCATATGGTTTTAGCCAGAATCATCCCCCAGTTCTCCCCTCTACCTGCTACTTTGTCCAGAACCTTTCTTTCCAAAACATACCCCTTATTTCATATCATTCTAATTTTTATTTTTTAGTGGCGCATTAACTTTAAGGTTGCTTGTATGAGCATGTGGACATGTGTGGGTGGGTGTGTGGACACAGACCTGAAAACAAATGATTCTCCAGAAGCCATTAAGTCGGTAGTGCCTCAGCTGGGGGAGGGGAGGGGCTTGCGAGCCTTGTTGCAGTGTTGAGTTGACTGACTTGATTTAGTGCAGGTCACCATGGTGCTGTTGCTGTGTCCAGCAGACAGCGTGTATAGTATTCCTCCCCAGCCCTGGCTCTTGCACTCCTTCCTCCATTTCTCACATCTGCAGGCCTTGGAGATGGGTGGTAATAAATGTCCGACTTGGAGCTGAGCACTTAACAGTCATTTATTTTCAGTTCTAATTACTTAAGAATCTTTAAGAAGCATCTCTGACCAAGGTTAGCAGCATCATTAATTTATGCATATAAACAAATATTCAGAGGACAGTTCAACAACATGTCCATTTAGCAAAGCAATCTTTTGTATGCCATCTAAGAGGAGACCATGTGTTCCTTTATAGGTCACCTTAGCGTTCTTTGCTAGAGTCTACAACTTCCCTAGCTGTGGGCTTTTGATCAGGTTTGTAGTCCCAAGCATGAACTCCCTGCCATGGAGCCCGTCAGAGAGTGATTGTTATCCTCCGTAATATTCATACCACTGTTGTGCCAGTGAGCACATTTGCCTGGCTGATCAGTATTATAGCATGTGGAGCCCAGTGTTGGCTAAGACAACCAATGACTATTGCAGGGGAGGCCAGGTCAGGCCCCCTCTCCACTGTTGCTAGGAGCCTTAGCTGGGTCATCCTGTGGATTCCCGAGAATTTCCCTAGCCCCATAATGGCTCCCTCTATCAAATACCTCTTTCACTGCTCCCCCTCGTTGTCCCTCCCGCAGCTTGGCCATCTCAAGCCCTTATGTTCCCATCCTCCATCCCCTCTCTTGTATTCCTTTCCGAGTTTGCCCAGGAGATCTTAACTATTTCCCTTTTCTTGGGCCTTCATGTGTCCCTCTAGGGTCCTCCTTGTTGCCTGTCTTCTCTGGGGTTGTGAACTGTAGCCTGATTATCCTTTGCTTTACATCTCATATCCACTTATGAGTGAGTTTATACTGTGTTTGTCTTTCTGGGTCTGGGTTACCTCACTCAGGATAGTTTTTTCTAGTTCCATCGATTTGCCTACAAATCTCAAGTTTTTTTTTTTTTTTTTTTTTTCCCCGTCGAGTAGTACTCCATTGTGTAAATGGACCATATTTTCTTTATCCGTTCTTTGAGGGGAGGAGCATCTAGGTTGTTTCCATGTTCTGGCTATTACAACAACGCTGCTATGAACATAGTTGAACATATCCTTGGGGTTGCGCATCCTTTGAGTATGCTCAGAAGTAGTATTGCTGGGTTTTGAGGTAGGTGGATTCTCAGTTTTCTGGGAAACTGCCACACTGATTCCCAAAGTGGCTGTACAAGTTTGCAGTCCCACCAGCAATGGAGGAGTGTTCCTCTCCAGCGTAAGCTGTCATCTGTGTTTTTGATCTTACTGCCTGTACTTTGAAAGGAAGTAGATTTGGCACTTTTCAAAGATTGGTGTAGAGGAGAGTAACCTGCCAGCTGTGTGTCTTTCAGTTCCTTTCTCTGGGGATCCCAGGGCAGGACCTGTTCTCTGGAAGAAGCACCCACCTTCCTGCCACAGTCAGCAGCACTCTTCCCTTTCTTTATTTTCAGTCTGCTGTAGCCACAACAAATGCCTGTGTGCTGTGCTCCGACTGACTTGGTATTGTTAGCTGCCCTGGGGCTGCCCACATGCACGTTCATTCTTAAGGGCTAGTGGGCTCCTACTGAGTGTATGCTGTAGCCAGCTGCTCCATGTGAAGGCTGATTGCTTTCCCAGCCTTTATCTTCTGACAATTCTGATAGTTGCCTTAAAATTATTCTGGCATGTCAAACAAAAAAATCCAAGGCTATACTAATGGCTTCCAAGTCTTCTAGGACCTTTCACCATAGGTGAGCATGCTTCTCTATACTTAAAAAGAGTTATTTTTTTTTGTTAAGAATCTGCTTGTTTTTTTTTTCTAGAAATGTGTCAAAATTTTTATCTTTACAATTCTATGATGGTTATTTTTTAATTTTTGTCATTGTGCTGGAAAGAGGGCAAACAGACTGGATTAATGTCTCATCCTGACCAGTTGTTAGCACTGTTCCTTAAGAATGTCAGAGGTTGGAGAAGGATCACTCTCAGTGGTTAGAGCAGCTGTCTAGCATACAGTCTCTGGGTTCAGCCCCACCAGCCACATCCATACACACAAGAAAAATGTGGTTTGGATGAGCTTTTGTTTAGATTGAGGTTAGAAAATTAATAGCTAATAGTACATTTAGAACCATATTATTTCTGTATTAGTTTCATGACTGTTCATTTTTGGCTGTGAGGTAGACTTGTTTACTTTTATTTACATGATTACCTCTGAGTGTGAAATCTGAGGAAGCATAACAAAAATTACTTAACTACTATATGTTTGTGGGAAATCAGTTACTATTGTAAGTTATATGAATATAGGAAACAATAATTCTACACTTCTTATAGTAAGAAAAGCATTCATACTATAACTTAGTATGATCTAAAAGACTTGCCATTTGGGGACGGTGAGATGGCTTTTGGGTAAAGGTGCCAGCTGCCACACCTGACAACTGGACTCACCCCAGATTGGTAGACTATACTGCAGGATACTTTTAAGAATATGAATCTTTTTTCCTATAAATTGATACAAGTCAAGTTTATTCTACAGTGGGGCCTAGGCAGAGCCCCAGTACCCAGGGTTGTCACTGAAGGCCCTCATAAGCCTCTTACTAAGGAATGTTCCTGAAACCCAGCCGTGAATAATTTTCATCTCCAGGACTTTGAAAGGATGATCTTTACCCAGATGTTCTGTAGATTTCCTCCAGACGGCTGCGCTAGGGCTCTGTGTGTCTGGTGCTGACTGATCGCTGTCATCGCTCGCAGCTCCTCTGTTCCCTTTGTTCCTCCTGACTGTCAGACATAGATGTTGGTGCTGACTCTTCCAGTGTTCTGTTCCCTTTGTGGCTTTACGATCCCTTTGTAGGTGTGGGGAGGAGATAATATGAGATGGTGGATAGCTAAGCCAACCACAGCGAGTTCTGTTAAACGGGAGTTTGAACAAAATTAAGAAAAAGGTACCATTTAGGCTCTTGGAAGCAGTGGTGAGTGAAGGGACTGGCAATGAGGACTGAGCACCAAGTTGGTAGAATCATTTCCCTAACAGCTTTTCCTAAACATATTTTGACAGCCATTCAGGACTATGAAGCTGCTCAGGAACACAACGACAATGATCAGCAGATCCGGGAAGGTTTAGAGAAAGCTCAGCGGTTACTGAAACAGTCACAGAAGAGAGATTATTACAAAATCTTGGGAGTAAAAAGGTGAATTATTGAAGTTTGCATGTACTATTTAACCAACTGCTTTACAGCTAATCGTAGCTCCTTTTGTCTTACCCTGGCTCTCTTCCCTTTCTTATGGTCACTCATTTACATATTAGTCTAGCAGTCTTTGACATCATAAACTGTTTTCAGTATATTACAGGCAAACACACTAATAGATGTTGATGGTGAAGGCTGTGGTGGAAATAGGTCCTAGGCCTAGACTTTTTAGGAAGGATTGAGAAAGTAGAGTTGAATTTATTTTCATTGGGTAGGAGGAAGGAAGAGAAAGCCCTGCTGTGGGCCTAAAGTTAGCTGTAGTGCTTTAATGAGCAGTCTCACGCTGGGACAATGCTCAGTGGTGAAGAGCGCCGGTTATAGCAGAGACCCAGGTTCAGCTCTCAGCATGCACATGGCGGCTCACCATCGTCTCTAACTCCAATCTGACCTTTTCTGGCTTTCTGTCATTACACACATGATGGTCATACATGCAGGCAGACACCCATTCATGTAAAATTAAATTAAATTTAAATTAAATTAAATAAAATCCTAAAAGTTTTATTGAAAAAAAGATTTATTTTTCAGACTGTTGTCTTTTGTTCCAAAGTTTAAACTTTGATTTTACTCTTATTAAGTAAACTCGGCCTAAAATAAGGGGTTGACAGAGGTGTGTGTGTATGTGTGTGTGCGTGCATGCTTTATTTTGATTGACAGAATCTTGCTGTGTAGCCCTGGCTAGCCTGAAGACACTATGTAGACCTAGCTGGCTGTATACCCAGAGATCTCTCTGCCTCTGCCTCTAGAGTACTGCTGGCATTAAAGGTGAATACCACTATCCTGATGTGAGGATATCTTTTTAATGCCCAGAAAGAATGAAGCTGTGGTGTTGTGGAAATCCAGAAGGGACAGCCATAAAGATCTGTACTGTATTCTAAGATGCGTGGTGAGCGAGCACCTTGAGAAGCCTGAGGTTGGCTCAGTGTTGGTGGGTTTGCTGTGCACACAATAGGTTTAGTTCTCAGTGTTTGTCCCCACCACCCCCAGGGCTCAAAAAGGAAAGAAAGGTGAAGTTGACTGTCTAGAACAGTATGTTTGCAATTTTGAGGAGAACAAAGTTGTATGTCATCAGGTGACACTCCCCTGTATCCCTTGCGCACAGAGCTGGCAGTGTGTTTGCAGTGCTGTGATTGAACCATAGGTCATGTGGGCGGGGCAAGCCCTCTGCCACTGAGTGCTTAAATGAAAGTAGGTCGGGACTTTTTTGATAATTGCTAAATTTCCTTCATCCTTCAGAAATGCCAAAAAACAAGAAATTATTAAAGCCTACCGAAAACTAGCACTTCAGTGGCATCCGGATAATTTCCAGAATGAAGAGGAAAAGAAAAAGGCAGAGAAAAAGTTCATTGACATAGCAGCTGCTAAAGAAGTCCTCTCAGACCCAGGTACTTTGTGCCCCAGTGTCTGCTGCTCTTGGAACAGTGCCGTTGGGGAGGAATGGCTCCTGTTCCTTTCCCGAACTGTAGAACTGTGGTTGGCTGTCAGCCCTGCGGCTCCGCTGGTCTCTTCCCACCTGAGTGAATGTGGGCTGCGTTCTCCCCACCTGGACAAGTTCCTATCATTTCTTAGCCTTGTTTTTCTCTAGCAGTCATAGGAAAGCACATACTGAGCACAACACACCTAGACCCTGCTAGTCTCTTAGCTCAGTGATGGGTGGTTCTCGGCACCAAATTCCCCGATGTGTCAGGAGCCTGGGGAGGAAGCCAGTGTGTCAGAGCAGCTTACAAAAAGAGGAGGAGAGTAGATGTCTAGCTAGACCTGTTGTGCCCTGTGGATGTTAGCAGCCATCTTGCCCTAAGTCACATGAACAGATGTACGGGTTGATATATATGTGAATCTGGTCTGGAAAGTAAGGAGACAGGCTAAGAATTTGTACACACTGCTTTTCATGACTTTCTGTACATGTAGAGACGGGTGTTCTAATTTGAGCTAGGCAGCTTCAACAAAGAGGAACTCAAGTTATGCCCCCTGAACAAATCTTCTATGCATCCATTTATAGTACAAAATTTAAATAGTCCTTTGTCCTAAGTAATTTGTAGTCTGCTAAGGGGGACAGGTGCACTTCTTTATTGGGAACAGTAGGTTTAGTTTACCTGTTCTGTTATTGGATGCAGAATGCTTACAACTGTCCCTCAAATGTAGTACATCGGTTGGGCCAGAGTCAGGGATTTTGAGGGATTTGGTGGTGTTAGGGGGGGCTTTCCACCCCATCCTCCCCTGATTCTCATTGTGGTCTTCATTGTCTGCATTTGGAGAGGAAAATGAGCCTTCTGGACGGTTGTTTCACCTGTTGGGCAAAGCAGCTCCTTAGATGCTCTGGGGATGGACTTCATGTAGGAGATGTGGAGTGACATGCTGTTTTGTAAAGGGCATGGCTCTGGGAGGGAGAGTAGGAGTTTGAGGATCAAAGCCTCTACCTATACCTTGGGTTTACATGTGGGTATTCATTTGTTGGTTTCTTTTCTAGAAATGAGAAAGAAGTTTGATGATGGAGAAGATCCTCTTGATGCAGAGAGTCAACAAGGAGGTGGTGGCAACCCCTTCCACAGGAGCTGGAACTCATGGCAAGGGTTCAATCCCTTCAGCTCAGGCGGACCATTCAGATTTAAATTCCACTTCAATTAAACCAGCTGTTTTACTGCTCCTCTTCTTTATTATTTTCTTAACATTCAAAACAAAGAAACTTTGGGATTCTAATGGAAACAAAATGAAACAAAACTTTGAGTTTGTTCGTGACCAAAGAGTTGTTTCAAGGAAAAGAGCTGTTCTTACCGTAGACTTGATGGGCCTGCCAAGGTGGGGAGCAAGGAGCCCTGTTTCTGACAAGGCGACTTGTGCTCATCTTGTGTTGCCTGGGGAACGTGGTCTGGGGCATTTGTCCTGTGGTGGTGTTCAAACAACATTATATGTATTTAACCTGGAGCAGGCAGATTCTAAATAGCCTTGCATAGTAACCATGAGGAAGAGCTGTAGTCTTCAGGAGAATGGATTGTGTCTCAGCATTCTTAAGAGATGATGAACAACTGGGCTTTATTTCCTTCGGGACAATTGTGCTTAGGTTTTGGTCAGTCCAGTCACTTGCAAGTATTTCCGCCTGTACCAGTGTCGTCATGGCTGTCCCGGCAGGAAGTGCAGAGATCATCGTTTAGGAAACAGTCCATCATGTGTGGGTGGGGTGCCCAGGTGTAGACTATGCCTTGAAGCTGAGTATGTATTTTTGTTGTTTTGTCTCTCTTGAATTTGTTAAAACTTACAGATCCTCTCTTAAATGTTAACCAGAACAAGTTAAAAAGTTCAGTCTGTGAAAGAAACTCAGTGGTATTCTGGAGCACACTGTTGAAGGCAGTCTGACATAGTGTTGAACAGTGAAGTTCAGAAGTGCCCTGGAAATGCAGAGCTGCTCCGTCAGCATCAGCAGCTCATTCCCAGCCGGAGCAGGAGAGCAAGGCAGCGTCTCAGTATCTCTCTCTTACATTTAGCCCAGTTGTCTTGGCTGTATTGTTTGTTGGGTTTTTGGTCCGTAGATCTGCCTCACTAGGACTGATGTTGCCAGGTTTATTATTCTGCTTAGAAGAAAGTGTAGGCTTGCAAATCTACTCAGCTCTGTGTTTGCTCACATTTCATTAGTAAGATGACATTGCCCACTTCCTCCTGAGAGATCCTCCTGCTTTTTAAGCAGATACCTCTTTAAGAAATATACTATTCAGGATTTGTATACTGGATAATTTTTGCCCTAAAAACCTGTTGCTAAATCAAGAATATTGAATATTTATGAACTACTGATGCTGCATTGAAAATGTAAAAGAATTATTTTGGTAAGAATTATTATTACCTTTATTCTAGAAAGTTGTTTTTCTTTTTTGAAACATTGTGAAGTATTTTAAGTATAAAGGTCTAATATATTGTTTTTATGAGATTAATCATTTTAGTTAAATTGTGGGAGGCGTGAAGGTAGCATCCAAGCACAAATCATTTTCTTAACCTATAGTCATACCCTTGAGCGTATATAGAAAAAGATTTTTAAAACAGACAAACATAAGTCACATAGTTGAATTGGGCAAAACATTTCAGTGCTTTTTGCCTGTGCTTAGGAGCCTGTTTCTTACCAATAAACTCAACAATGCATTTCAAAACCACTTTCATTTTGCTTCAGTGTCCCCAGATTCACATCAGGCCTCTGACTGTACTAGCGACAAGGAGAAGGCCTCGTTTACATGGTGAGTTCCAGGCCAGGTCCCCTACCAAAACACTAAATAGATAAAGTTCAGCCAGCGTGGAACAGTGAGTGCCATGGTTTGACGTCTCAGCCATCTCAGGTTAACACACAGCTACTCCATCCACGACAGGAAGGCAGCTCTGCTTTCCAAAGTCCCTTCTCACCAGCAGAACCAAGGAAGCACCACGCTGCTTACTCTCTCACTTAGAGCGGATGCAGAGTTGCCAGTTGCACGGAGCTGGAGGATTCTGACATGGTTGAGGTTGGGCTGTGTGGACCTGTGGTCCAGATCTGGTGCCTCCTCATTTGCCTCCCCTAGGGTTTTAAGTCCTCCCCCCCCTACTTGTAACTACCCTAAGTAACTGAGGATTAGTCTTCTCAGTGCAAACTTGGGTGCCAAAGGCAGATGCCATGGAGGGAGATGAAGGTAGGGTGACTGGTCAGCTCCAGCATGCATGCCTGTCAGATGAGCAATAGAACAGTGTCCCCTCTGCCTGGTGACACTGTAGAGCCACATCAGTGGAGAAACATTCTCCGCTTTCTGCTTTTTGCAGGGCCACTTCCAGATCCCGGTTTCTGTTTTAGGAACTGTGGAAACCTTTGTGGTAATTCTGGGAAAGGTGGGATCAAGCTGACCCTCGCGGTGCTCCACTCTGTTCCAAGCCTTCCCTTCCCCGTGCTGAGCTCCCTAAGTGACCGTCGTTGGCTGCATCCATGCTCACCACTGCAGGAAGAAGGAAAAAGTTGCCTGCCACCAGAAGGGCACCTTCTTCACCTCTCAGTTCTGCAAGTTTACTCTTTATTACCTTGAATAGAAGAACCTGGGAGAAAACTCAGTAGGTTAATTAATGTGAGTTGTATGTAGCATCTTCATTTAAACATCCGCTTAGCAGATTAACCATTGGAGCCCTGAGAATGAGTGGCTGCAGCAGGCATTCCCTGTGACTTTCCTAGACTTACACACATCACAGGAGTGTGCGAGAGGGCTATTGGTAACTCAGCGTCACTGTCACCACTGTATACCCCTGGGAGGTAGCGTTCCCGTGCAAAGGCTTGGTCAGAAGGAGGAGGAAGTGAGGTGGTGGCTAGAAGTCACTGCTCAGGCCATCGTGGGTGCCTAGCTGCCCCGAGACGGCACCGGTGATGACCTGTCAGTGTTTTCAGTAAGACACAGGTCAGGTGACGTCAGGAGTGCCCTTGAGTGGATCTGATGTCCTGTAATGATGCAGGATGGAGAAGGCAAGTGATGACGTAAGAACTATCTTTCCAGATCCTGTCATTCCCTTTCCGTTAGTGGCAGAATTTATTCTGTAATTTCAAATGATGTTAGGAGGAGCAGATAATTTTTTAACAGATGATCTCATTTGCTGAATGATTTAAGAGTAAAATTAGCCACTGCGTGGCTTTGTGTGCAGTCACAACAGGTTTATGGCACTTGTATGTGGACGAAATATTTACCTGTGCAAAGGAATACAGGGCACAGGGCAAGTCAAAATCAGAGATGTTTGATAAGTTAAATTATTACTCTTAAGTTTCTGTTTGTTTTAAATGGGACAGACTTAACAGTCCATCTCAATTTAGTGTTTTAATGAAAAAAGGAACTAAAATTATTTCAACTGGGGCTCATACATGTCTATGAATATGGGCAATATTTTTATGCCCGTGTATTTTCACATTTAATAAAAATATTTATGGTCATATCCACTACTTTCTTGCTTCTGTTTCATGTTTAACCTTTTAGTTAAAATTCTAAGAAAGTCCATCCTATAAGTCTGTTTTCAATTTTATTGCACACAAAATCAGTGACTGAGTTGACAGAAAGGCTTTCTCTTTTACGAGTTTACAGAGAAGGTCGGAGGACAACATGTAGATATGTTTAAGAATCTTTTAACTCACCAAGTCCTAGGAAAGTGGGACTTAAGATGGTGAATTATTTTTTCTCCTTTAATATTAAAGTCTAGCAGGAGGCATCATCTGATTCTCACTACTCCTGTCTGTTGTTGGTTACAGGAAGGCACCACGGCACATCCAGACGGAAACTTCTAGAGCAGCAAAGCCAGTTTTCTACTTCAGTTATCTATTCAGTAGTGAAGGAACACTATAATAAATGTATGTACAACTTCTACAGGAATATAGAAGCTTCCCAGTCCCTAGTGGCAGTCTTGATATCATGACAGTATAGAAGCCGTCAGAGGCTTGACACCGGAAGCAGATCCTTCCACGGGAGATGTGCACATGGCACACAGAGTCAACATGCACATTTAGCTGCTTTTGTCCGTTTTCTGCCAAGGCTCTAAAAGAAACAAAAATCCCTAGACAAAGGAATTTGGTGACTTCCTTGTTGGGGATTTCTCTTCCTCCTGAAGTTATTTTCTCAGTTTTCTGTAATCGTCCTGGTTCTGCTTCCTGGAGAGTCTGCATCGCTGACCTCAGCCCTGTCCCAGGTTGATCTTGGGTGACTCTGGGGCCTTAGGCCATAAACCCCTGGGGTACAAGAGGCCTGTTACTCTCAGCTGTACGACGCCATGGGCTTTGAGCCCCACTCCTGGGTGCTGCATTTCAAACCAGCAGTCACTTACACCCACTAAAGTCACACAGTGCTCAAGATAGTGACTGGGGGTTGCCGTAGACTTCAACTCTAAGCACAGGCTCATCAGTACCTTTGAGTGGTCGCTAAAATGTGTCTGCTGTATGAACTGCTTTGCTGGTAGTATTTTAGCAAAGAGAGCCCTTCTGAAGAGTCAGCCATGCCTTCATCCCTGAGCAAGTTCTGCCTTGCCCTGCAGTGATGGCTGGTTCTCTGGAAGCTGCTTATGGATAGAACCAGGCAGTCTGCGGGGGCTGGAATTAGGACTTGGCGTGGAGGGATAAGCTTCCTCTAATTAGTCTGTGAAAATTAAGTTTCAGCTTATAGGTAGGGCCTACTTGAATCACTAACATTCAGTAAGGGTCAAAGCATTCTTGTTCTCAGTCTAGGTAATGCTTCACATTTTTCTTTGAGGGGAGAAAGTGCAAACTACTCAGTTACAAATGTATTGTGCTTTTTCCAGGATTTTTTCTGGTTAAAATTTCATGGTGTGCCTGCATGGGAGAGCCAGATTTCAGGATTGCGGATACAGTTCCCCACTGCACTGTGCTGTGACCAGCAGCATAGACCCAGATGGCCCCCTCAGCCTCGCTGCGTCCTCCCCTGGCTTACTCGAGTAGGGCAGTGAAAGATGGATTCACTGAGTTTAACATAATAGAATTCTCAACGGGGCCATGTCCTAGGTAGGGTGACCATTACTGATGAAACACCATGACCGTACAACTTGGGGAGGGAAGGATTATTGGATTTACACTTCACTGTTCATTGTTGAAGTCAGGGCAGGAACTCAAACAGAGCAGGACCCTGGAGACAGGAGCTGATGCAGAGGCCATGCAGGGC